ATTAAAGTGTCGCCCCTCTGAGAGAGACACCTTGCGAACTGTTCCGGTAGCAATATTTCACTCATAAAAAACTGTTGAAAAGTACTAAAATATTATGAAATCGTTACGCCAGATTTGCTTAGATTTGCTGTAAAGCAGAGCGAAAGATGATACAGTAGTTTATGCAAGTTTATTCAAGTACGAAGATGTTCTGCTCTTAAATCAGAAACTTAGAAAGGATCCATTACCTGATTACGATGAAGAACTCTCCGCAAAGTACAGTTGGTCCACCAGTTTCTCCAAGCCAGCTTCTACTACCATGCCCTAATACCTAATGGTGCTCCCTACCTTAGTCTACGCCTTAGCTCTTTAACAGAATCGAAGTCATGGGCACTGCTTGGGTCTCGCTCGCCTACCTGCTTTCTCAAAGTCAATTTTTGTTCTCTCATCTCAACACCTACTGGTTCTCTTTTCTTAGCCTACGATCTTAATCTCGACGGCAGGAAGCAGCTTTCATTCGAGTCGTTTCCAACATTTTTCCGTTTTTTGTTCTTCGCTATTCGGTTGCCTGACACCTATTCATGTTTATTACCTAATACCCAACAATTAATATTTGCAACCCTTCTCATCTTCTGTTATACAGGGTCAAGCGAGGCCTTGAGGAAAATTTTGAAATACGACTCCCCCCTCAGCGGCCGAAGTCCATGAAACGACTCTCCCCAACTCCTCACAAGCCGCATGGAAAAGGCTTAATCTTCCTCGAAAACCTTCCATCAAGAAACCCTGCCATCCCTCCCTCCAGCAAAAAAGATTCATCAAGTAGAAAAAGTAAAAAAAAACTGTTTAGCAATAAATCCTACCAACAAGTGGAGCAAAAAACTATTGAGAAACTAATGAGATTATTGAGAAAGATAGCATACTATGACAGCATCCTTCTTCCTTCATTTCTCTTGATAGGCTTACCAAGTCTCAGTACTACATAGATGAACTTCTCAATCTACACGTCCACCTTTTGGTTGGCAGAATCCTTGTAACCGCCCTAGCCAGCTGTGTGTTGATTGATCTGTGCATTCATTGATCTTTGGCCTTGGAGCAGCTTATCTACTATTGAAATTTGAACAAATATTCAAATGATTATAACTTTCTTCAAAGTGAACGAATTTTCAATCTGAAAGCAGATTTGGAAGTTTTGTGAAGAGCTTTTTCTAATCAGTATTGAAATTACAAAAAGTTATAAGAAATAACAAATTTAGATCAATTAACGAGGAAAATTCATGATGAGCACGAGTTTTTACACTTTCCGAAGCCATAACTTGCTTCATTTTCGTCAAATTTGAAAAGTTAATATGGCAGACAAAACTAGAAGATTTTCTCTATCAAAAGTTTTAAAGCAGCTATACGTCCAGTATTCGAAAAATGGCCACGTTGAGGATTTTTGCAAAATTAACGAGGAAAATTCGTGATGAGTGCGAGTTTTTACGCTTTTCAAAGCCGTAACAATCTCGTCAATCTGAAAAGGTAATATGTCATCATAAACTAGAAGTATTTGCTCTATTGAACGGTTGTTGAAATGTTTAAGTGGCCCGGTCGAGGATTTTCGCGGTCCGCAAGAAAGGTATCTTTTTTCGCTGACTTTCTTTCACGATAGTCCTTTCAGAAAATTTTGTGCGGAATCGTTTTTCTTCCTACAGTTTATATCGATTGAGGAAGTTCCAATTACTGTTTATACCCGTTATGTTTATAAATTTGACGCTAAGCTGTATTTTTTGATGGTGGCTCGTCTATCAGATTTCGCCCGGGTTCCCGGTTGTCCCTTTCGCCCTGATGATTTGTATGGGGACTTCTTTGGGGGCCGGTCGCGACATAACTGATGGGCTCTGGGACGCCGCGTGTTGTTCATCCTTCAGATTCGAGTCCTGGCAAATAGAATTCTTGGAAATGTGCGAATTTCCGAGGACGTTGAAGCACGAATTTCCAGTGAGCGGATATCAGTGGTGTGGATCCTCTGGCCAGTTTGCGACCCCCCGCATCGATAATCGTTGAGGTTGGGCCCTCCGGAAATGGTGATCGACTGTATCAATCGGCCGAAAACTTCCTCTATCGAGTCAGCTTCGAATGCGATCGACTGCGAGGTTCCAACGCACGTGGACCTTGCTTGGTATATCGCCTGTGATGAGTTATAGAGGACTGTACGCTATGCCAGGCTCAAATTTAAGGAAGTGTTACGCGGAAAATTCTTGCATTCTTTCTCAACATGAATGTGTCAGTTGTGATCACTGGAAACAGCACACAAAGTTTCACGCATGAAGATTCGGTTTCCGAAGAGAAACAAACTTACAAAAACTATGGACAATCGAAGGTAATAAGGCGCGGAGCCAAAGGCGGGGCATGGAAAGAAGTCCGCCTTGGGGCGGCTACGTATCAGGCGACGCAATGAAAGAATCGGGTTAAAGCGTGCGATTTTGGAGAGTAGAGACAAATCGATCGATAGAATAGGATGGAGTAGAAGTGTGAGATGTGAATGCAATAAGTCAAAAGGCCAGAAAGAGTTTCTAGTGACGGCACTCCAAGAACCAAGTGGAAGCGTTCCCGTCGCCAGCATTTGTGACAGATGTCCGGCGGGAAGCAGCCTTTCCGATTTTTCGAATTTGTTCACCAAAACAAATGCAATTTTTTGTTCTTTTCGTTCTTATCGTGGACGATGAGTCTCAAGCCAGTGATTTATGGGTGGGATAGAATCAAGATTTCCCCGGGAAGGATTCCTTTAAAAAGGACCAGTAAAAAACTGGTATCTGCAGGCTTGCTTCCGCAAATTATGGAGTGAGCCCAGACCTTTGTAGTTAGTGATGATTTAAATTCCAGGTTCGATTGCTCCCGATACCTTTGCATCGAGATGTTTCACCATGCTTTACGGTGCCTTATTCTGTCCAATAACCTGGATTATCATTCGTGATATCGGACAACTAGCGCTCGTCTATCTCACCACTGTCTATGCTCGGCTCAAATTGAGATTGTAAGGTTTATCACATGATCCGCATATTTATTGCCTCATATTATATGTCAATATTCAATAAGCTCAAAATTGCAAATTTTTGGCGCACTGCGCTCTTGGGCCGATGTCAGACTTTGCGAATCGCGCGATTCGCTAGTAGCGAATCGCAAAGTCTGACATCGGCCTTGCGCTGACCAGCCACTTGAATTTCTGTAAAACTAAGGCTAAAAAACCAGAAGAAACCAAAAATTGACTTATGATGATTTAAGCACGAACGCTGGTGAGAAAGCCGATCAAGTTTTCATGGTCCCTATATCTATGTGCTTAGGAATTTGTATACGTAAGTGCGATTTCAAATAATGCTTTATAATGCATACTTTTTTATTGACTAGCCGATGACTTCCTTTTTCCAGTAATCATGTTATTCGGCACCTTATGGGTGCACTCCTACGATGCGCTGTCAGGCCCACCTGGGTCAGGATTGGATTGGTTCCTTTCATTATATTTCACATTCCAAACATTCACGACAATTGGGCTCGGCGATGTCATGCCCAACAATATTCCGGTTTGTCGAAGTTTTCAGACCATTTTGACTGTCTACAACAAATTTCTTACCTTCTGGTTCTAGTTCGACCCAATTATCTGCTCGGTGTTTTTCTTCAGTTTGTCAATGCTAAAGGTGATCAACAGAATGAGCTATTTGAGTATGGAGAATGGAGTACACGGTATGTATCAATTGATATTAGCGGTAATTATGCACTATGGACGCTACCTATGTAGAACTGTTGAAATGTCTTCTTACAGGAGCATTTGCTGTAGTAAGTCTCAAACTGCACAATTTTTGTCAGCAGTCGAAGAAATCCTAGGGTCGAGGTGAGCCATGAGGTCAGTTTTAGGTAGAACAAGTCCTATTTTAAGGTGAACCTTATAGGCAAGTACCGATTCCTCGACGATCGAAGCTGATGACAAGGCCGCCGAAGAGGTGATTCATTAAGCCTTCAGGCTTCCTATATTCCACCTCTTCACAGGACATTTGACTGGTACACATATAGTCGATAACAAGTTGTTTAACAGGTAATCTTCCAGGCTGACATTACCAATCAGTTGACGATCCACTCTATAGCAACGTTTATGCAGTCTAACGCCGATGTTTACGGCGGACGGTTAGGACGCGTGAATTTGCGGAAGTCCGATATTGCACCCGAATGAAAAATGTATTTGAAAAAGGCTGTTACGTACATGCTTGCTGAAAATTACAGCCAGATATTATATAAGTTATTCACATTGTAAATGTATCATATTTCACGATATTGCACTGAGCTATGTAGGTACTGTACAATGAGTGTTTGCCAAAATAGTTTACCAAGCATTCCAGTCTCTAACCCTCAGAGGTTAAGAATTCGAGAGGACTAGAAGACCAAGCGTTTCAATATTCAAAGGGAACTGTCAAGTGGGAAAGCCAAATCCTGCCTCTGAAAGAAGTCATCCACCTGCTTCGCGGAGCGTGCCTTTATAGTCAGCAATAGCAGTAAATCGAATACTCGTGGAGGGGAAGAGGTGAAGTAGAGAAGGTGGAGAGCTATCCAAGACCTTTGCAGCAGAAGGCTCAATATTAACAGAATGGTAAGTCGTCGAAGACCAACAAACAAGTGCCTTTCCCTATCCTCAATTGCGCATTACATACCACTTGACCGTATCTTCACATGTCCTCGTTTATGTGGGTTCCTCAATGATGTTACCCTCTCTCAGAGGACATCTGCCTTGACCGTTAGCTCGCCTAGAATTCAGTAAGGATGAGAGGATATCATTTCCCGAGCCTAATTGGGTAAAAGTCAAAAGGTTTCTATCTCGCCTTCCAACTGCAACGCCTGACTCACGCGATTCAACCGAGACACGAAGGTTCTTGCGACAGTTTTCTATGAGAAGGGCATCTATTGCTGCTATATCATTGAGTTTCACCAATTTGAGACCAATTTGAGTCTCCGCTTTCTCACGCATCAGCTTCTGTCACTCCAAACAGACAAGGGATCTTTGAACGTGACTCATTCATCACATGCCATAAACAGCAAATAAATCCGAACCAATTATGTATATCAACTTGATGCCTGTGAAGTGGAAACTCAAATACTTCTTATTAGCTAATTATTTCTGCGACAAATAGAGAATCAGCGATGAATAAAGCAATGTAAAAGGTAATTATAGATGAAATAATGAAATATGGACTAAATAATGAACAAACTAAAAAGTTGTGGAATGTGACGACGATGAAGTGCACGGCTTACACGGAATTTCGAAACTACACGATCGTCTTGGGGTAGTCCATTTAGGCGGCCCATCATTCAAACCACGTTGAATCGATAGAATCCATCGATGAAAAAAATAAGAAAATCATGCAAGAATCGAAGTGACAAAACCTGAAACTCATTCAAGGTACGGGCCGCAGCTGAATTAGTGTATTATTCTGCTCGGAAAATTGGCAGACGGGCGTGGGGGGGGGGGTAACGGAGAGGAAAACTAGGCAAAATAATGGACTTCTTCGTTTTTTTAAAATTAACGGTGATATGATAGCACAACGAGAGGGAAAACGGGAAAGAGCGCAACACCGAGAAGGCTCGGACACCACTGCTTCGCATGATAAGAAGCAGCGGTCGCAGCGGTCAAGAGGGGTGGAGGCGTTAGCGCCCTTGCCTCGCATTTTCTAGTTGCAAACGTCCCTGTGCTTGGAGACCCTGCCACCTCAATCGTGGAGATGATTATTCTAAAAAGGGGTGGTTCATAATTCTGCAACAAATTACTTTAGCGCTAGAAAATCTCTTAGGAACAACCGTCCGGCTCGTTGTCGTCATGGTCACTAAACTTTTTGAAGTTCCTCAGTCAATGGGTGGGCCGCCAATGTATTTGCTCGCTACCAATCGTTCCCAAGCTGATTTTCGTGAATATCCTACCAACCATTTGAATTCATTAACAAAAGTGATCGTGATTGAGTCAGAAATTTCTGTTGACAAATGTATGTACTAACTTCCACCTGAAAATGGCTTCTAGTAAGAGTAACACGACAGTGACAGTTTGGTACGAGAGGTCGACTCTCTCGGAAGCTCACCCAGTGCTTTCTTGGGGTTTTGTAAGTAGTAAAACTCTAATGTATTGTGGTTTAGATTGCCATTTGCTCCATTGGTGATAATTGTCCCAGATCATGTATTGAGCCGCCTGTCTTAATTGATTCGGTGCTGGCCGCCTTGAGTGTCGTTCGCCATTGTTTACTTACTTTTTTCTTTTCTTTTTTCCTTCTTTCACACGATTTCTCGCAAATCTTCATGTCGTAGCTTCCCATGCTCGATAGCTGTAGCAGCCTAGCGCTGTTACTGGGCTAAAAAATTTTGATGCATTTTTCGTTAAATTTTGATGTGCCGTTCCAACAATTGCATACTATTTATGTATCCCCATCACAAGACGATCGTGTAGTTTCGAAATCTCTTTCCAACCTTCAGTCTTCCATCTCACTAGCACCACTATTAGCACCAACATCGTCTCTGTATTCTTCCTTCCTCCTTCCCCTTTCGCGTTTAGAGGGAAGAGGGGAGGTAGAGGATATCACTAGAAGTTGAAAAAAATCTCGTGAAAATTTCTAATTTTTCCGATATTCAACATCGCTCGAATTGAATCTTTCAATCTAATCAATACATATGCTTGTTACTGTAGCTGACTGGCCATGTAAGGCCCAATTGATCGGCAAATGTCAAAAGAACATCTAAAAAATCAAAGACATAGCCATTTTTATTGAGAAATTGAACTTTAACAAATTTCCTTATGCGTTTAGATGCGTATGCCCGAAACGCTTCGACATTCTGTGACGATTTTTTTTCAGGACAATCTAAAAAAAATGGTAGGAAATCCAGCTCCGTACTAATATGTCACCTCACCATCAGACGTCCACAGATGTTCTGTCTGAGGCCTGCCCTGTCTCAATAATGCCCGTAAGAGGTTAGGTTTTTGGAGAACTTTCTTCAATCTGAACAAAATTGGAATCCGTTAGTGAAGTGGCTGTGCGATGATATAATGTGAGAAGTTTTCCGGAAATGGTTTTTTGTTGCTGTAAATACTTAGATCGCTATTATATCTTCGGAGGAATTCTTTCCCTAAGTATTAAGTAGCAGACCCCTGATTAGAGGGGTGGTGCCATTCTTACTGACCGAAGCACAGGTGGCATCTGCGCCCTCTCGCGTATAAGATGCTCTCTCGCGTTTTCCTTCTCGTGGCGCTATCTTACTCCGTGGTACCACGATCGATCTCACGAGGAACATTTTATTGTTTTTTATGCTTTTATTGCTTTTTTCTTGAGTAGTGTTCCTCTCCACACTTATTGTTCAAATTTAGAACAAATTATACACCAACTCGATCGCGACCCGTGCCTTTAAGTGAAAAGTGGCCACATCATATTTTTTGGTCTTTTTCCGAAACTAAGCTGTTAACATATAATTGAGTTATGTTTTGGCTTATCATCCATCGCCTTCATCGATTTCATGGAGACATCTATGTACCGCTCAATGATATCCTCTCTTTCCTGGATATCGAGCTCAACAAGCTCATGTTTCAAAGCAACAGCAAGAAAGCTTAGCTGTGGAATCTTTCGGGAATTGCTATGCTTAATTGAAATTATCCTGCGAGTACAACGATTCGATTTCAACTTAACAGTAAGTGAATTAGAATAAATAGAAAACCATCCAAGGATCATGTAGGCATATGAAAACTGGATAGCCTATGAAGTGGGCGCTAGTTGCAGGGTCAACCGTCACGTTGGGAGATGCTCCAAAATCGGGACTTTTCCCTGAAGGGCTACCCCCTTCGTTTCCCTCAGACGTCCAGTGTCATTGAATCAGCCATCAATTGAGGCACCCCAGCTCTACATCAAAACCCCCTCGACAGTCGTGCAGTGGACTGGTTCACAGACTCCAAATAGGACTTTTCATCTGGAAATCACAAAAACGATTCGCACTCCTCGTTGGGAATCACCTAACTATCTAAGGAGCGCTCGGTCCAAGAGTGTTGGCCTGAAAGGAAGCGAGATACGTATAGATTTTAGAATCCCAAGGAGAACGGCAACAGTTGTTTTCTCTACCTCTACCTACGTCCGTAAGCTCCTACATTACGGAGTTTCCAAATGCTTAAGGTACGGGAGAGTTAAATGTCTTTGAGGCCATGATTTACGTTGCGGGTACTCTTCATCGACTAGTGCAGATAAGTAATTGGACTGGGTAGATGTCTGGAAGTGAGGGGTAAAAGAAAGAAATGATACAATAAGAACCACAAAATAGAAGAAATGCGAAGGAATATATCTGCATTATTGGCTATAAATAAGTCTGGTGGGAAGGAACGCAAGCAGTTAAGCCCTTTTTTCTCCTTTCTTTTCCTTCTCCGTTTTTCCATTTCGTGAGATCGGATACGTCTGGCTCGAAAATTTGTAATATTTTTAGCTATAGGTACGCCCACCGTTTGTATTCTGAATGGAAGCCGTATGCATAGTGCATCCTTGGGGGATTGATCAACGGCGACTACATATTTCCCCTTTACGGATGCTTGGTGTACTCTGAGGCTGACTCCGCTTTCGTCCGATTCGTTCTCTGCTAGAGCAGATCGGGAGGGGTAGGGGGGGGGGGGTGACGGAGAAGTTCTGAAAAAGTTGCACTGTTACGCCGCTTCTTTTCAAAGCTAGAAATGAATCCATACGATGCTCCCAGCAGCGACTGTTGAGAGTGGAGTACAATTTACAAGGGGGAACGTTTGAGAGTTGAGAGCATTTCAACCTACCTGTGTTTCTACATGATCAAACGAGTGAGGAGCAGGGTAAAGGTCATTTGGACGAGTCTGGGAGGGGTTGTATCTGGCGATATTGGGGTGGAAATCGTATTTGGCAGAATTAGGTCGTGGTTTTGTCCGCTCTTCTATCAACGATACAATCGACTTTATGAACGCTCTCAGTTTTGTCAAGCTAATATGTTGCAAACAATGAGGGTGAAGAAGCCACTAGGAAATGGTCGTAGCAAGACCCCAATATCTTCCCCTCTCCTTCGTCTCCATTATCCTCATTTCAACCTTGTTCAAGCACTCCTAAGCTTTCGAGTGATGAGGGGGAGGCGACGTAAGTGACTGAACAGCAAGTTGGTTGTGCGTTTCATGCCTGTTTCCTCATCTTATTTCATGTCTTCCAACCC